TTTTGAGAAGTGATAGTTTGTTGATGAAGATTTGAAGATTATATTTGGTGTACAAGACTATACATGATGCATCTATTCACTTGAAAAATGTATTACAAACATTGTGCACAAGACTATATAAATTGTGCTCCATTTGTTTTTGTTTGAATTTGATGAAAATTTATTGTTCATGTTTTGGTTTCTATGAATGTTTACGTATCAATGTTTGGTTTCTATGAATGTTAGAAGAATTTGAGCTTAGGATGTAAAAATAAGTTTTGTTCATAGTATCATCCATTTCTCATCCGCTCCACCCGCGAATGATGGATGGAACGGATATGGATGAAATTTTTGGTGGGTGATGGATGGTGTGGATGGAGATTTAAACCGCGGGTGATGGGGCGGATGAAGATCTACTTGACCCATCTCCGATCCATTGTAAGCCCTAATTGTATTATGTGTATGGTTCTTAAGGAGTGGTCATTTGGGACATAGTGGTCCTTCGGGACAAATATACAATGCCCCTAGTGGGAATTTATTCGAGTTGTAGTGACAACATCAGTGCACAACCTCAATGAACTCACATATCTTTAGTTCTCCAAGATGTACATGGGCCAATAAAGAAATAATATACAAAAACTTAACATGATTGTCATATGTGATTGAACATTTGGATGTGAATATATGAGTTTCATTTATTGCATATATGATATGTTCTATGTGAAATATGTTGATATGATATATAGGAATGTAAGTGAATATAATATAATTATATGATATGTTAGAAGTAATTTCATGAGAAATCTAGTGAACGTTATATACATATATATACATAGATAATGAAGTGGTGAACTATATGATTAATGAGAATTGAGACAAAGCATATAGTATATTATTTAAAGGAAAAAGTTATATAAATAAGTATAAAAGGATATTAGATAAGTTGTGTAGGAAGGTATATACGTTTAAAATAGAACTGTGAACTAACTTTGCTAAATTAGTAAGGGATATGAAATTTAGTATAAGAATCTACGAAATCATATGAGAATATCAGAGGAATCAAATGACAATAAGTTATGCAAATGTATGTTTATTAAATGAAGATTTGGTGAGGAATGAATTAAGAGAATATAAGAAATTAGGATACTAGAATATGTAACGAGAATTTATGGGTGAAATGTTAAATAGAAACATATAGAAAGGAGAGATAAGATATGCAGGATTGCGATCAAAATTACAGGATTAAGAATAAGGTAAGTAAATGATTTAAATGAAGATAGTAGAATGTAATATAAGCTAAGTAGTGTAAAGTAAATGATTATAAGAATATGAAATAGTAAAACTCATATGTGATATTATAAGGTTTATGTATGTATGTATTCATTTTATGAAGTGTGCATGAAGATGTATGTTATAATGGCATTAATTATTCATATGCATTGTTAAAAGTTTAGTTTATATTATATGTTTTATAAGCCTCACTAAGTCATAGACTTAGCGTGTGATTATTTCACACGTAGGTTACAGAAGCGAGAAGAAAAGCTAAGAGGAGCAAGACAGGTCAGCATCTTCCTTACGAATATCGGATCAGAAACATATTAAATATATGTATTATTTTATTAGAATGTAGTTGGCATGTAGTATAAAGATTTGAATAGTATAAGCTCTGATATGTTTTGTAAAACCCAGTTATGTCAATTAATGAAAATATTAATTTTATCGAATAGTGAGTTGAATTTTTATCCACCTGTAAAGGAAAAAGGTTTTGAAAAGTCAATGTGACACCTAGGACTCGGATCCGGGTCGGATACGGGTTGAGAGTGTTACAGTAGATGGGTTCCTAAGACTACACAAACTCTAGTATGTATGCCAGGATAGTAGAATCATCAAATGCATGATGTAACGATCCCGTATCGTCGAATGGTTGTGGTGCTCTATTATCCACATGGGTTATTTCCGCTTCAGGCTGTTGAGATGAACTCCCAATCCCACTCGATAGAGAGTATTCAGCTTTACCAAATTTTTTCTTAAATTTCAAAAACTGTCGCCTTTCTACCCTTGTTGTCAAGAACAACTTTCCATTATCCCAATAATAATCAAGGTAAGCCGAAGTCTTAAAATTAAAGTCATCATCTTGAATGGTATCAAGAGTTGGCAAGAATGAAGCCCTATTGTTCCAAGCATTAATGTAGCTTGCATGCTTCTCAACCCAATTCACCTTTTCTTTACGGCGACCATCTAATTTGTGGAGGTGGTCATGATCCCATGGACTCTGCGGAATAGGTTGGTAGAAGCCGAATTGCCTCAACACTCTATTCGTAAATTGGATCTCAACAAAAGAAAAATTAATCAATGGTGTAACAGCACACCAATATTGACACCCATCAAAAACATCGTGCGGCACACACGCCATAATTTATGCATCTACGTATGGTCTCTAATTAAACTGTAAAATTAAAATAATAATAAAATTGATTTAAATAAAATAATATAGTTAAATTAAATAATAATTAATAATAACAAATTATATATACCTCCTTTTTGCCCTTAATGTCGATCTTCAGCCTAAACTCTTTAATATTGTTGTGCACTAACCCTGTGCTTTCTATTTTATGCCTCCATCTGTATATCAATCAAAACAAAAATATGATCATTTTATTCAATATTTTTAATCAAAATAAATAATTTATAATTAATATTTTATATTAAAATAGATAATTCATATTACCTTCCGGCAAGTGGAAAGTAAATCGTAATCTAATCAGTGTCAAAAACGGAAGTCTATGCCAAGCCCATGATTGTAGCAACATCAGACATCCACCGATTTCTGATGTATTATTATTATTCACGACTAATGATGCCTTGCGTATCTCACGATACAAGAACACCATTATCACTTATTCGCAACTATATTGCCTAGTATTCACAAAATTTCTTAAAAATAGAAGATATTGAGTGTGAACTAGATTACCGGATTTATCCGACATCAAAATTCCCCCAATCAACTGCAATATATATACTCGTGTTTCATATATAGTTTCTTGTTCCATACTATTTCGTTGGACATGAAATTGATTCTTCAACCATGACAACTTCACACGCCACCCTTTACACTCTGGTGTTACTGGCGTTTGCCCAAGAAACACACTGCAAAGTTGTTCCACATTATTGTACTCATTTGTCATTACCACTGACATCTTATTTGTTTGGACCCCGAGTTGCATTGTCATATCCTCCAGAGTTATCGTACATTCTCCATACGAAAAATGAAATGTGTGCATTTCTGGTCTCCAACGTTCAATCAACGCATTGATCAAACCTGAGACCAACTTGTATTATCACATAAATGTTACATAGTAAAATTCATCATGTTGCAAGTTTTCTTCTATCAATTGGTGTGGCTTGGCCGGAATATTTAGCCGATGACGAATGACTTGTTGCTTGTCCTCCTGCAATTAAATAATTCAAAAAATTTATCATAATCATAAAATAATCTTCAAATATTTAATAATAATAATTCATTAAACAAATATTTTATTTTATTAAATAATAATAACACCATTATTCCCAAATGAGTAGAAATATGTTGATTGTTAAGTCTCAGCAGTGGATTTTGGTCAACCATTCAAATGGATCTGTAAAAAAAATAAACAATAATATTTAAAAAATTCATTTAATATAATCTAATATTAACTAACTAACTAATTTACACTACACAAGAACAAAAAATAACAAATTATAACTTAAACTAATAAACTATTTTTTTATTATAATACAACTTAACTTAAACTAAAAAACCTAATTAACTAATTTTTTATATAATATAACTTCAACAAACAAACAAAAACTAATATAAATTAAATGAAATATAGTAAAAAAATTAATATAATTTAAACTATAACTATTTTTTAATAAAATAACGACATATAATAAATTTAATATAATAATTCAACAAACAAATTTAATATAATTCTTCAACATTAATCTAACTTAAACTAACAAACTAATTAACTAAATTTTTTTATATAATATAACTAACCCTAAACTATGCCCTAACTAACTAACAAACTAATAATTTAAACTAACTTAAAAATTAAAAAATTACCTTATGGGCCCTCCTTCTTCTTCCTTTCTTCTTCCTTTTCTTTCTTTCTTCTCCCTTTCTTTCTTCTCCCTTTCCTTCTTCTTACAACCGAACCCCCCACCCAAAATATAACAACCCGGCTGCAATAATGCAGCAAATCACAGGCGTTCATGCATGCAATAATTTGCTGCATTAAGAATCATGGGCGTTGCAGCAGAGGCTGCAGAACCTTGGTCGTCAGGATTGCATGGTGACCTGCATAGGTCGCTCGGACGACATGACGACCTCCATTCTCTTGGATTGCTTGGCGACCTACGTGCATGGCCCATGCACGTGAAGAATTGTAGCAGCAGCAACGCAGCACATGTCGCTCGGACGGCTTGGCGACCTTCTTAGTCGCCCGGAGCACCTAACGACCAACCTTCAAACTGTATCAAACACCCCATTTCAGCAAATAATTTTCGGATTGCAATATCTCATGAATTTTTTTTCCAAAAGCATTATCTCATGAATTTTGCCCAGATGGTGGAATGCTTTGTACCAGATTGTTTGAAAGTCCCAATACGAGAAATGTATAGAATAAATTTAATTACTAATATTACCTTTTTTAGAAAAGAAATTACAAGTACCATGGTATAATAGTTTTTCTTTCTCAAAAATATATATATTTTATCAATTAATTTTAATTTAATAAATCTAACATTCAATATATACAAATCATTTTAATTCCAAATAATTTTATAAATTTCTAATATGATGACATGTGTCTTTATTTTATTGGTTCAAATTAAGAAAAAATATAAATAGGTACGAAATGGATCGAACCTAACCAAGATTGAAATTGCTAAACGCGTATACTGGAATCTAAATCTAAATCTCTGAATATTCATTTGATACAATGGCAAAACTTGCTAGTAGTGTCACAAAACAAAAACAGTCCAGTGAGGTTCAAATATATATCCCACATCATTCGGCTTCAAGTTCAGCACCGAATTGTTCGAGTCGAGCGGCATCCCCATCCAGATCCCGCACCAAAGCATGATTAACCACTCCATCATCTTCACTTGCATGTATCTGTCTCCCACCAAACCTATACCCAACCGAAAAAACACATCTGGAAATAAGAAAATAACAAACGGTACTTGCTAGTTGTTAAGAGTTACATTATTAGGCCAATCAGCATTCATTAGGTGCCATTTCCATTCTAGAGAATCAAACATCATCTAGGAAATTGTTCTCAGTAATCCATGAAGCTAATTTTACAAAATGTATTCAGGGAACCAGACAGCCAGGTGAGTAAAAACTGGTTAGAAAAAGAAATAGTATTGGTTCTAACAGGAACACAAGTTGTTGCATTTTTTATGATTAAAGGAACTAGCATAGAGAATCAACTTCAGTAGTTAATATTATTTAAGCATATGACTTTGTGTTTTAGGGGTGACTAAAACTTTCTTAAAATTGAACAGTCGCCCCCTCTTTTGGTTCTCTGGTGGAAATGTCACATAACATAGCTGTTATGTTTTAATCAAAAACGTAAACTTTCCAAGATAAAATTTACCATCGTCCATTCATCAACTCTATGCACTTTTGAGCATCCTTCCTATCCTTGTATTTGACCAAAACAACACCTTGGGGATGGTTCTCACAAACCTGAAGGACAAAAGAAACCAAAACATAGAAAAAAGAGAACATATAATTAAATACGGAGCAATCACTTTGCAGTCTGCATGGTTGAGCTAATAATCATTTAGAAGAAACTAGGTAGGTAGTTGAGAAGACAGATAGATGAACAGACGGATCACGGAATAAAATCTGTAGTTCATGACTTCTTACACACTAAAAGGAAAGCGAATACAAAACGGGAGAAGTCAAAACTAATCAGCCTCGACCTTGTTGAGTTCAAGGATGAAGGTGAGGGGAGAGAACTTTATCCTTTTATGGGGGTTGTAAGTTAAGGTCAAGAATGTCATCAGATGACGCTATTCTGTTACCAGAGCAACAGCATATGAGCAAAATGATATGCATTCCTTGTAATAGCAATATAGCTTTCACTTCAGGAAAACTAGTTTTTAACCGCTTTCCATCCCCTTTATACACCATCTCTGGTTGACTTCACATGGAGGTAGTATGTTGAACCCATTTTTAGTTTGTTTATGGTAGAGTTTACAACAAAATAAAAATTGTTCTATTCAGCCTTGTCAAATACACATTGAAAGTTAAAAATTTAACATGTAAAATAGAATGAATCAGTAATTGCAGCCCTAGAAGCTTTTAGTGAAGCCAACCAGGGAAAAGAAAAACAGCACTTAATGAGAAACTGGAATTCCCTACACGATTTTAGCATCATATTAGCATGAGATAACCCTCTCCTCAGACGAGCATGTGAAGTAGGGGCTACCGACTTACTTCAGGGAGTACAAAAAGAAGCAAGATCTATCATATCGAACACCAGATTGAAAGAGAGTTAACAAACGATTCAATCATAGTTCTCCAACAATGGCTAAATGCTGGAATTATCATCCCATACCAAGTATGAGTATTACTATTTATCTCACATGGCCTAGAACAGAACACGTAATTCAGATGTGCCAAGGCCAAACATGAGTATGGCTATTTACCACACATGGCCTGGAACAGAACACATGTACCAAAATTATTCAGATGTGATAATGGTAAAAGAATATAATACCTTGACTGAGTCCAGCGGACCAAGCTTTAAGCATTCCTCTTTAATATCCTCCTCCAGCTCTGAACACAAATTCTCATCTGCCAGTAGGGATAGGGAGAAAGTCAACTCAGAAACCATGTCATGTAAATAAGTAAAAGCTGTAGGGACCTGATATTATTCATACTATTTATAATAAATGCATTCAAAGGAGAATATTAGATAGCAATATAAGATATAAAATAGTTAGCAGAAAACAGTAAGTACTGGAATACAGACTATACAGTCAAATGCACATTCGAGGAATGCTGTCATGCATTTTTTAACCATGGTTTCAAGCATACCCTCATTTCAGTAGGTGTGAACATGCTACGAAGGACTACAGTCACCGGAACTGTCACCTTTGCATCATCACGGCCACCTGCATCATTAAATACATAAAAAGTAGCATTCAGGACGCAAATGCTGCACAAGGGAAAGCTGACAAGAGAAACTATTTGAAAAAAGGTTTCTTAGGACCAATGCCAAAAAGCCAGTCGAATCCAATAGGAAGCATTGCACAAAATTCTGAATCATTCAATCTCATGATTTGTGCATATTTCATTACCACCAACTTTCGTTCATACTAGCAGGCTGGTGTTGACTACAACGTAGAGTATATATATTTTAATAGTACTAAATTCAACAAGAAAAGAACAAAACTAACTTATTTATAACAAAGAGAAATTCAGATAACGCATAAATTAGAGAAAGTTTTAAGTTCTAACCATTGCCTGAAATAGATATATGGATATTTGACAGAGAATAAACAAATAACAAAATAAAAAATAAAAAAACGACAGGACTGCTCTCAATCTTCTTGCTGGGTTCCTCCCCCGGATGGGTTCTTAAAGCTAAATGTGATGGAGCAATGGTTTCGGGTTGGGATAAAGGTGGTATTGGAGGTCTGGTTCAGGATAATAAAGGTGTGTTGCTTGCTTCAGTGGTTCTCTGAACCAGTAGGGGGAGGTCCTCCTATCATGGCAGATAAACTATCCTTGGTGAACGATATAGTTGAGCTGTTGGCAAGAAAGGATATTATTATAAAGCATATTTTGAGAGCGGCAAACTGGGAAGCTGATAAACTAGCTAAAGATGGGATAGGGTGATTCTTGGTTTATATTGGTTATGTTGTTTTGTAGGAAATGTTATATTCTGTGTTGTAAGGTTTTGGAGTTGAGTCTTATGTTCTTCATTTGGAGGTTTTGGAGTCTGTTAGGCTCTACCTATGTATTATTGTTTTGATGAATAAAATTTTCTAGGCACTCTTTTCCTTCTTCCTTAATCCTTCATGTTACTCACATAACATGGAGGATTAGATGGGGGTTTTTTAATGAGGCCACTATTCTATCAAAAAAAAAACAAGGGAATGAGCTTTGTAGGGAATAGATAATTTGGTCAGAATTATAAATTTTTCTATCTACGGACAAAATGGTATGATATAAGTATTACCATATCAAATCCACATTGTTTTCCTATAATAAAAATTTAGAAGGGAAAACCGAATGGGAAAGTAGGAAGACCAACTTTATGATCATTTATAATTAGCCACTATAACATGCAAGATGAGAACCTACCCCAGCTGAGCATCCTCTCCTCAACTTTCTTCAGCTTCTTTTTCTTCCTGCTGTCCACTTGCTTGGTTACGAATTTATCCCCTGCATTATTGCAATAGAAGCTTATCAGTGAGGCAAGACTGTATAAGAGCTTTAAAAATAGTTCTATAACTTAACTGAATGAAGAGAAATGTATTCAATCACTCATGTTAAGAAAAAAGAAAAGTATAAAAGTAACTCAAAAGGACACAATCCAAAGTGAATGTAACAGCACGAATCATTGCACCTTTCTGCTCGAATTTAGCTTGGCTGACTGACATAGGGATCTTTCCATCAGGACGAAAAGGAGTTCCATCCAAAATTTGAACTGCTAAAGCAACAGAGGGCTCCTGGCACAGATGCAAAAAGCTTGAAAATTAGCAAAAATTTTAAAAATGTTATACAGCAGAAGCACAATATGAAGAAGGAAACTACCTTTAGATATGTAACAAGTGCATCCCCCTTTTTCCTTCCTGTCTCCTTTTCAACATAGATCTTCACACGAGATTTTTTTGATTCAGGGTCCTATAGAATTAGCCACAGACTCATGACGTGTGCAACTGAAAATACTAGTTATCCATTGAAACCATCATCATATTATTTTTAGGTGGATTTTAGATTAACCCCAACAGTTTAACTACCCAAAGAAGAGGTAAACACTTGGAGGAGAAATATAATAATTACAATTATCACACACCTGTTTGAGAGTTTTGCACAATGTACCCCAAATCAGTGATGGGGTGATGTCCCCAAACAGAGATCAAGCAAAATTGCACATTCAGATATGAACGAAAAATGTCATGAAGTTCTGACTTTCATTGAAACTTTTGCAATGGAAATATAATGTTTAAACATCTAGTGACAGAACCATGCAATAACAGAACAATATCTCACATGCAAACATTGTGAGCACTGAGCACCTATCAAGCTATTCAGATGTGTAGGACATGGAAAATGTGCATGCCAGTATCAAAAAAATAATTTGTATGGCTGAACCTGAAAACTAAGATGAACAAAATAATACACCACCAAATCAAGTCTACGAACCTTAGGGAAGGCCTGTGATTTACAATTTTTAAAGCATCCAACCTAAAACCAATTGGTAATATGTGGAGGGCCCAACTTTAATAAAATATTATAAAAAAATACCTAGCTAATATGGAATAACACTAAAACACTTCCATCATGTGTTGTTCACAAGGCATCCACATAGACAACTTCACTAGGCTTCTTCAACCTCACACAAGATTAGGCAGGAAGAATATAATTAGACCTGAACTCAGATATAATGTTGTAGCATCGAACCTACAACCAATTAGTAATAGGTGGAGGGCCAACTTTAATATAAAAGTATAAAACCACAAGAAACCCAATACTTAACCAATGTGGTATAACACCAATTAACAATTGTATTTGACATATAAACTTTATATGGGTGATAATACTTCCACACATGCCGCCATTACTTTGTATAACAACAAAAAGGTAATTAAGCTAGACAGGACGAATTTTCAGACATTTTCCCCCATCGCACTATTCTATGTTGCTAAGAATTTCAAGTTGGGATAAATACATAAAAAGAAAATATGCAGAGCACTTGGACAACTTAACATATTTCTTGTCTAGAATCAATTTGCAATGGATACAAGTCAAAAGTACGTAAAATGGGGATATAATGCATGGATAACAATGTTTACTCATTGTTTGTCCTCTTTTTGGCGAAGAGAATATATTATGTATGCAGAGAAACTTCAACTGTTTTAACAATGCATAAACAGAGTAATAATTAATAAAGACAATTTTCTTTGAATAATGTTATAGATCATCATATCATACTGATCTAGTCAATCAATATGCAAGCAAAAATGTCACCCAAAACTCCTGGAGTCAAGATGCACCGCTACATCAAAAAATATTTAGTTTGTTAATTGACTTTCTGAGGATATGTTAAGGAGGAACTTCTATGTATTTGAAGGCCAAAAAAAAGAGGACTTCAATCATTAAACCATTCAAAAATAAAGTAAAAAAAGTAAATAATGAATAGCAGATGTTTATCTCTTTGATTATTCCGCACTTGGAGAACACCTCAACCAACTGCCACATGTTTCCAAAATGCGACTAGCTAAGAGAGAGGAGGAAAAGAAAGAAGTGGAGACATTTAGGTCCTAAAGTGAAGATTACTTCTTCTGCAGTAACATCATCGGGCAGTCCAGTCACATAGACATGTGTATTTACTTTCAATTCAAACCACGAATCGGGAGGTTTATTAGCTTCCTACAATAGTGGTTTAAACAGTAAGGAATATGGCAAACTTAGCTCATATCATATATACAAACAACTGGTTCAGTCCAATTAACTTTACAATATCTATACTTCATATCCAAGATCATTCTTTTATTTGTAGTACAATACTACAAAAAGAAATGTGTCACTTATAGAATGCGTCAAGAGGACTCTACCAAGCCATTTGTTAGTTTTAGAGAAGGACACAAAACATTACACCAGATGGACATTAATATGATAAGAATGGTACAAAAATATCAAGGATTATGACTGTAATGCTACTTGGGAACAACATGAAAGATGAAGAATTGTAACTAGGAACAGTTAAAAAGAACTCCAAATTAAGAAAGGATACCTTCTTATCAACTGGTTTTTCCAACAATTTTCTCTTGGCATTAGAGCTTACTTCCATTTTCTCACCACTTCCATTAACATCTTCTCTAAGAGAGCTTAGAGAGGCATCAGCAGCAGCAGCATCAGTAGCACTTACAGTTGGAAAAACTTCATCTTCTTTCAAGAATGTCATCTCTTCTACTCCATAGTTCTCATTTTTTGTTGATGTGTCATCCTATTAGTCATTATCAGTAATCACACAATTCAAAACTATTTTTTTAGAATAAAGATGGAATTTCCAACATTAACAATGATACTAAGAATTTAGCCAATATATGGTGTCGATTATTGACATGATATCACCCCCTCGGACACTATTAAGACCATGTCCTCAATAATCTCTGAAAATCAGGTCTATTTTTTATTAATATAGTTTCCACTGTTTCCTGTTTAATATTCATCACATCTTAAAATGGATACCTTCCAAAAATCTAAAGAAAAATCCAGAAGCAAAACTGAGTCCAATTGAAATATGAATATAATCAATGTATGATCATTAAGAACACCCTATAAACCTTATATATTAGTCCATTCAATTCAAGGTGCCAAAAACTTTATGCAAGAGCATCATATTAGTATTACGACTTCTACAAATTAATTTAAGCTACTTTCTCCACTAAAAATTTATGCAAAACATATTCTCAAGGTAGCGACTGCCAAAATATACTTTAAGTTGTAATTAAGGTGCATAGACTTGATCATATTAGTTAACTTCTCATACACATCTTTGATAGCTTAGTTTGGAAACCATTTCGTCGGCAATGTTATCAAGGGTGCAAGGTTCTAGGCATTTAAACCCTTATATTTCCTTATGGTTAATGTTTGTTGTTGAATGCTCAAATATTACAAAGTATAGAGTTCGATATCATCCTTTTCTTACAAGTAAACATATATAAAATAAAAAAAGAGAAATTCAATCTGGCAGACTTTTCTTATGCCTATCACTTGTCAAAATGACTGAAGCACCAACCTGAGGAACCCATGCTCTCAGACTTCTATCCCACTTGTACCTGGTTCCATTATCATCAGTAAATTCTTCTTCACCTTCTGGTGGTGTTAGAGGCCTATCCTGGTCATCAAAACTGAAGCCATCACCAGTACTTCTAGAAACAGATCCATTTTTCAAATGTTCTGCCTCCGCCTCAGCCTCAGCCTCTCTAATCTCTCTCTGCCACTTCTCAAATTCATCACTGCCACCAGCATCATTGGATGGCACTGCACAACACATTGCTGGGTCAGAAGCCCTCTTAAGATGGTGACTACTTTCCAATAATCATAAAATATATATCAGCCTGCATTTAAGTTAATACCCTCCATACTGTTCAAAAGTGCAACACCATTGCCTGAGGGCACTGTAAACATCAAAAGTGAAAACCTCATTATGAGAAAGGTTCTAATTACTTATAAATCATAAATAGTGCAACCTGTAGTTAATTTAACCTGTAGCAGAAACATTGTTGGTCTGATGAGAAATTACAGAAACAAACTCAGGAATTAAGGACAATGGTTGCCACTGACTTCTCCCTACAGACCATGCAAGTGTACTTTCGGAGAGGTATCCATTTAAAAAATGCTCTGTGAAGGTGAAGCAAATAAGTAAAGCAGATGGGTGAAGCAAATAAGTAAAGCAGATGGTTCAATAACTTATTAGACCAAATGAACATGTAACAGATGGAACAAGTGTCCTGAAACCATGCTATTGATTACTGGAACTGAAATTCAAGGAGAGAGAAAATCACCAGTAAATTTGCAGTACTCCAAACCAAACAACTTCATAAAACTCACAAATTACTACAGATAACAATTAGAAAAAATGTTCTGATTTTTTTAGTCTAATGCAATCGATAATACATTGGCACAAAAATCACGACACTGATTCCATACTTTGAATGTTCATAATAACTTAAAAACACGGGTTAAGCACAAAACTTACCACGCAACTCAGAAATCGCATAAGGGCCAACATTTTGTTGATCTTCACCAAGAATATACCAGCCTACATCAGCAACTGCGTCCATACCATTCTCAGTTCCTGATGGACCATATATAATATATCATCAAATCTCATCAAAATATCAATGACAATAAGGGTATATACTAATATTACTGCCACAAACACTATTATTAATTAAATAATAAATTAAGATGGAGGAGTCAGAAAACCATCATTTTTTTTACAAGTCAAGAAAAACTAACAAAATTAAAGAACTAATCGGACTGTCGATGGTTTTCTGAGCCATCAGAAGGCATCATCGTCTCTAGCAATGCAAACAGAGAAAGAAGGAGATATTACACATCAAAAAGGCAGTAGGATGGGAAAAAAAAGAAAACCAAATATAGCAGAGTGATGCAGAGGCAGAGAGAGTCAGCCAGGGAACAGATAACGCAAACTGAAGTAGAAATGTTAAGATTAAGCTTAGGGTTTCGAAAATCACATTATCTAATTTCTTATTTGGAAACTTGACGGCAATAGAGGGATTGGAGGAGGATAAAAATGCGCCGAATTGAGCTGAGTGGGATGAAATAGGACGACGAGAAAGACGAGTCTGGGAACGCGAAGCAGCAATGTGCCAAGAGAGACGAGTTGGTCGGGATTTTTCTAAACGAAACTAGAAAAACTTTATATATATATATATATATATATATATATAGAGAGAGAGAGAGAGGGGGCCGGAAGAGGATTAATATCAAAATAAGTATTCAAACTATACCTCTTTTATTAAATATGTGTCTAAATTATTTTTTGACTTATCCATGTGGTTAATGTTATAAACGGTACCTATTTAGGTGTTCGAACTATCAACGACGTTAATTTCCCCGTTAAGTAACACATGTCACAATATAGTGAATTTAAAATTTTATTTAAAATTAAAAATTAAAATTATATATATTTTTAAAAAGAAAACACAAATTTTGAAATAAACTCAAAACTTTAAAAAACTTTATTTCAACCCCTAAACTTACGTTGGCCGTCGCCCTTTTACGTCGACGAAACTCCACCTGACTTCCCCTTCCCCCAGCGATCGAAACCCCTATGAAATTGTGATCAATCGATAATGAATCGATGATCGATCGACGATGAATCGACGTTTTATATCACGCGAACCCTAGGTTGAAAATCATTATCCCATGCGATTTCGATGGTCAATCGGTGAAAACTATGACGTTGTATGATTAAGAGGATGATAGGGACTACGTCGGTGGTGATGGTCGTGGTCGAAAAGAGCGGCGTCATCAGGTTAAGGTTAGAATTTGAGATTTTAGGGATTTGGGGGTTATTTTATAATTTAAGAGAAATTAGGGGTTTTAAATAAATATAATAATAATTTTAATATATTTTAAATAAATAAATGTCAAAATCATCATATTGTGACACGTGTCACTTAAAGGGAGTAATTAACGCCTTTGATGGCCCAGACACCTAAAATTGATAACGTTTATAACGTTAGACACTTATTCGGGAAAAACAGTATAGTTTGGGCACTTATTTTGGTATTAAGTTATATATATATATATCACGAGAAAGGGTAAATTAAGTATTTAGTACCTAAATTATTTATTTTGGTATATTTTAGTATCTAAATTTTTAATTTTTTCAAAATCATACCCAAAATTTAGTTTTTGTTTCATTTTAGTACCCATCATTAAAACCTTTAATTTTTGTTTCCTTTTAGTACTAAACATGTTAAGTTTTTAACGACGTGTACTAAAATGAAATAAAAACTAAACGTTATGTATGATTTTGAAAAAATTAAAAGTTTACTTACTTACATAAGGAAAAAGGTTCACGCCCTCTACTTAACAAATGAACGAATCAAGACAATATCAGACTGGGAGGAAGGCTAGGATATAGTTAACGGCCGATGCTACTTCCTAAAGAGTGATTTGATTGTTCTCGGGTGAGAGTGCGGATCCTAGACCAACCAAGGGTTCTAGAGACAATTCCTTCTTCCCAGTCCAAGCTAGCTAAGGCAATAGTACCATATCGACACCAATCTCGATGAAGATTTCCTCTCTTGCTTTAACGAAAAGGTCCTTAGTAGCGTTGACAAAGAAGAACAGTCGGTTAAAAGCATGGTTTTCAGAACCGGACCGGTTAGCGAACTGGTCATGCTACTGGTTCACTGGTTCAATCGGTCGAACCGGTCTGACTGGTCGGAAGAACCGGACGACGTCATAATTATTTAAAAAATTAAATAAAAATACCAAAAATATTTAATAAAAAATAATTTTTTATATCACAAGTCATATTCAAAGCAAGTTATAACATATATAAGTTAAAAACCATAAAATCAAGTGAAACAAATTATTCAAATTAACTACAACATATTTAAGGTAAAACATATTAAATAATAAATATAATTATATAACTATAATTAAAAAATAAATTTGGGGTTAAAAAATTATAACAAAATGATATTGTTTGGTTTAATTTTTTTTAAAAACAATCCCACATAGCTAAGAAACATAGAAGAGCATCCCAAAAGTCTAAAGAGTAAAAATATGAGAACAAAACAATCTCACATTGCTAAGAAACATAGAAGCGCATCACAACTAACTTCTATAAATAATAGAGGTATTTTGGCATTCAAAATCATGGAGCCTTTTGGTGAGCATTGAGTGAATTATTCTTTCACTTCAATCAAGCTCGAATTTTAGGTTTCAATCGAGTTTCTAATTTTTTTTTTGAGTTCAAGCCTTTTTGAGTTCAAGTTTCAATATTATATTTCGAGTTTGAGTTGAACTTGATAATTTTTAGCTTGTGAGTTTGAGTTGAGTTGAGCTTACTTTTAAAGTTTTCAAGTTCGAGTCGAGCTCAGCAATACTCGAGTTCGACTTGGCTCGTTTAACAAACGACGTTGTTTGGTTTATTTATTTATTTATTTTAAAAAAACAAAAATCCTGGTTTTTCCCGGGTTTTTTTCCGGTTTTCAGCCGGTCCGGTTCGAACGGTTCAGCGGTTCTAGCCGGTTCACTAATAGCGGTTCAACCGGTTCAGATTGAACCGGACTAAACAACGGTTCCCGGTTGAATCGACCGGTCCGGTCCGGTTTTCAAAACAGATGTTAAAAGACAACAAATCTTTTTCTTTATATTATATATAGGTTTAGGGTTTAGGATGATTTTGAAAAAATTGAAAGTTTACTTATTAAAACGATCAAAATTGATAGTTTAAGTGTTAAATGCATAGTTTACCCTATGAGAAAACATAATCATCACTAATGTTCGAATAAATTTTCATTTTCTTAAGTTTAAAAACTAATGAATTGGTCATTAACGTAATCGATTTGTAACAAATTAATCACTAATTTTATCAATTTAAAACAAATCGATTACTCAACGTTAACCTAAGGATAATGACGTGGCCCATTAAATCGGTGACTTGACACTGTTTTTACCGCACGAGATGACGAGACGACCATAAATGATGGTTGTTTGACTTTCAAAATCTTTTTGACCCGCATGTAAGGGGAAAAAGTTGAAAAAGTTTCTCTTTTTCTCTTTTGTTCTCCACAATGAATCAAAGAGTGTTACAAAGCTCACTGGTGCAACAACTGATGGCTTGAGATCACCTACTAGTGGAGCATTAAGACTATGCGATCCCAATACTAGGTTGAGCATCAACCTTATACTTCTGTTATTATTGGGAAGTTAATAAAAAATGACAAGAGAAGCTTCCTATCACCATTCATCTTTCATGACATCACCATATATGCGTGTGTGAGTTGCTTAGAAGATAAACTAAGTGCTAGCTGGAAGTGAATGCATAAAGATTAATGATTTCATTTTGCTAGTCGAGTTAATATTGAATGCAATGTACTTCTTTTTCTTACATAATTTCGTTTCTAGTTTATCATGAACATCAAAGTTTGTGTAGTAATGAGACGACATGATGTTGATGCTCCACACCCTGCAGACGGAATTATTAGAATCTAAGATCTCTAGAGAAAACAACATTCTCTTTTACCATTAACGTAACTAAATGGGTTCAAGATGAATTACTTAATTATAAAACATACATTTTAATAATAATAATAATAATAATAAAAAGAATCCACACGAAATGGCCCACTCGTAATATTTGGAAACTTGATTAAGGTGTGCACCAAATAATATTCCTACAAAAAAAATACATGCCACACAAACCAAGTAGTTTTAAACATCCTGCAGTTCTAACCGATGAAACGTGAATCCCTATACTCTCAAGCATGCTATAAGAAATGATCAAACCTACAAAACACACTACAAACCTTTTCTCGAGTTTCAGAATTACTTCCGGCAAACCACAACATTTACAGCTTACAACAACCAATAAGTGTTTGGTATATCCAAATAAACACAATATATTTACTTTTTTTTTTGAGCTTGTATGTATGTATGTATCTCTATTTTCAACAACTTACAGTCCGCCGAAGCTGCATACCACTGCAATGTCACAAGAAAAGGAGATGATTCACATCAAATTCAAAATACTCAACCCCAAGCAACAAACACTTGTTTAATTAGTAATAGATTTTGAACTTAAAAGGAGAGAGAAATTGAAGATTACATACATTGACAACGTTGTTAGATGATACTTGCTACATTCTTGGTTGTTCTGACGTATCAGTTTCGTTTCTTGCAGTTTGGCTTTCCATAAATTCTCCAACTCCATTTTGAAAAGCTGCACTATTGTTGGTTTTAACTTTTCCATCATCCCCTGGAATGGAGATTTCAGCAGACTGTTTCACATCTTGCCCCTCCATAAACAATGAATCCATAGGTCTTTCCCCTTCGTTCTTTACCATCATTTCATCCTCCAAATCATCAAAATCCAAATTTCTCAAAATTTCAGGTAGCGAATTACCAGTCTCCTCAGCAAGCCTATTTCCCATCTCAATATCAATTTTCTCTTTTGAGCTAATTTCACCTTCTGCAAAGTTTGGTGTCATGGATCCCATAACTATATGCTCACTTTCCTCCACAAATGAACGAAAATTATTCAATGAAGGTGGCATCTTGGAGAAAAACATTTCACGAAGATTTCCTGCTGTTCCCTTATTATATGGGTTTTCCTTTTTATCATATCGATAACGGAAGTTCTCGTACGTAGTCTGTTAAAAATGGATAAGAGGGAAATCAAATATTATTTCGAAACAAAACAAAACCATGTCAGTATCTAAACATTTTTCATAAGGACATATGTCCTAATCCAACAAAAAAGAAAAAAAAGAAATATAAGGTAGAAATACAGGCATATATATGCTCTAGCATGGTTATCTACAAGATTGTGTAGGTCAGACACAAAGCAAAACAAAAATACTAGCATACAAAAATAATGACATTATACTATAGTGTCTATTTATTCCCTAAATAAAGGGGATATACATATTCCTTAAAGTAGCGTTTGGCAACTTGAATTTCAGAATTTTTTATTTGGATTTCAAGTGTGTAAATTGAGTATTAATATACCTAATAATATAGAATTGATGATTATTTCTCAAATCCTTGGCTTTGTTATATATGCCTATATAGTAGCGATTTTGAAATTCCTATTTCCTAGTTTATATTTGGATTTGATTTGACCAAATTTTTATACTTTTAAATTGTTCATCAATATATCATATTAAA